AGTATAATTTTATTCATGTAAAATAAAAAATGCGTAATATAAAATTGAATTTATAATATATCTAATCTATAATATATATCTAAGAAATTAAATGTCAATTTATTTGATTTTTTTCCCTCTTATTTGATTTTTAACAGACATAATTTCGACAGAATGAATTTTAATATGCAAAAGCATGTTGATATTATTAACTTTATTATCGGATCTTTATCTGAATAATCAAAGTATAGTATGGCATTCTCATTGAAAAACATTCCAATGTACAAGTCGAGGCCAATATCTGCATGCGTATGCATACATATGAGCTCTGACCATGCGTGCTTCCGTATAATACCGTCGTATGCATAACTCGATTGGATAAATAAATAAATAAATAAATAAATACATAAGTAAACAAAGAAGGAATTAAAAATAAAATATAAGGTTATGTGTACTAATTATATTTCACGTATATGTGTGTTTTCGATGGATATTTTTCTTTATTTATCGAACCATAAAATTCTTAACGTTAGTTTGATAATACTACTGATAATAACGTACTGATAATAATATATGATATATATATATAATAGTACTGTTATCATTCTTTACATGGAATTAGTCGACTTTTGATCATAGTTATGAAGAGAAAAAAGAGAAAAGAATTAATATTTTCGTCAAATCACTAAATATCAAATATGAATTTTCTGTGTAATACATGGTGTCTTAAATGTCATTTCTTTTTATATACATGACAATATTACAGATAATATATCCTTTTTTTTTTTTTTTTTTTTTACTTTCTTTTATATTCTTTATTTTTTTTCTTTTTTTCTTTTTTTCTTTTTTTACTTTTTAATAACATAAATCTCAATCTATTTACAAATATAAGATGAAAGAAATTTTCATTGTAAAATAATATTATAGATTTGTTTGCGAAAACAAGGATTATTTATTTTCAACGATTGGAATCTAAGAAAGATCAATGAGATTTATGATTATTGTGATATCTTTCTCTCTCTCTCTCTCTCTTTTTTTCTCTTTCTCTCTCTATTTTTCTATCCCACGCGAGAAATAAAAATAACGATTCCATGACATAAAGGTTAACGAACGTCGTGTTCGGTACTTTTATTTTACGCGTAGGATAGAAATGAACTAATTACAACGTTACGTTTTCTATGTGGGCGAAGAGTTAAGGGGAAAAAAAAAGAGGGAAAAAATAGAGAAAAAGAGAAAAAACTAGTCTTTGTAGGTTATCATTGCGTGTAATCCATACAGGGAGAGAAGGATAAAGAGAGAGAGAGAGAGAGAGAGAGAGAGAGAGAGAGAGAAAGAGAGAGAGAGAGAGAGAGGGCACGTGCTATTGGCCTAATCGCCGGGTATTCACACAGTGAGTAATTTTAATTATACGCGCGCCACACTGCTGTGTGCGCATAACTCTATGTAAATCCCTTGTGTGCTCTTGTCCATGTTTTCATCACGAGTAATAGTTAATTCGAATGAATTATAAGATTACATACTATGTGTCCCAAGATATTTTTATATCGTCAAAAGATCATTATTAATAACATATATGTATACGTATATAAATTTATATATACTTATAATTATTTATATATATATATATATATATATATATATTTCTATATTTATATATCTATTGTAAAAATAATGATTAATTTATTATCGATTTTAGATCAATTATTTGCAATTAATATTAATGATAATTGATGATTAAAAATGAATGTTCGATAATGATTTATAGTTAAATAATAAGTTGTTTTACTAATTGATAAAATAAAATGAAAAAGGAAACGATTAGAGATACCTGAGAAAATCTTTGAGTAATTGCTTTATCTTTCGTACGTGCTGCACTCCACGATATGTCTGAATCTTATCTATATCATTAATTAACATTTAAACTTGGGAAAAACAGTTCAATCTTATTTGGATTTTTACAGATTCCATTTTTAATTATATTTAGTCGGTTGAATATTTTTCGAATATTTCGAAATGTACTTTCGGCGTAGATCTCATTATTACATTCCTACGTTATTCAGTGATTTACATGAAGAACTGGTACAATATTTTGTTTTTTTTTCTTTTTTGATTGTTGTGATAAGTGTAACATTGAAATAAAATAGCAAAATTAATCCAAAAAAATGTATTAAATAAATGATATATATATATATATATATATAATTCGTGGAAGGGATGAAATTTTGTTTCTTATGAAGAAGACGCGTAAAAAAAAAAAAAGAATAATAAAAAAAATAAAAATTCATTTCGAACAAATATAAAACCAATAATTAAGTAATTATAAGGAAAAAAAAAAGAACAGAGATGGTGATACATGTCTATCTAATGAAAATAATCACATTTTATTTATAATTATTTCTCCGATAACTACGTATTTTAAAGGCCAACAAGGTTATCATCGTATATTACGAACACATACATACATACATATACACGTATATAGAATTAATATTAAAATTGGCGGGAAAAACCGGACGAAGTAATTCGATCTATCAAATGTGTCAATACTCTATCGATTGGATATTTTAATGACCTCTGAGTGTGATATCATTGATAGATATACATATTGTGAGATGATATAACAGAATTTAACACTAACCTATTAATCCAATTTATTTCTTACGTAATTCATACAAACGGTATAATAAAAAAAATTATTAACGAATTGATATTTTTCATTAATAATATTATAATGAAAATTATTGAATAGGTATCATCAACGATAACGTGAAATTATTACAAAATGATCGTTCATTAATAATGATTAATAAAAAAGATAAATAAAAAAGAACATATACATATATATCATCAATAATAAAAATAAAATCAAAATTTAACTACTTAAAGTATTACGTAATACATTTATTATATTATCAAACGTGTAAATATATAAATATATAAACTTATTAAATTATTCCTTAAATTATTTATATATATATATATATATACTTATTTATTTATTTATTTATTTATTTATATATTCATTTAAAAGTGATTCAATTAAAAATTAACAGAACATATAAATATCAATGATAAATATCAATATCAATAAACATCTAAATATAAATATCAATAAACATCAATGATAACATATCGTAATATTGAGTACGAAAAGAAATTGTAAATTATTAATTTAATTAATAATAATTAATAATTAATTAATTTATTTATTAATTTATTAATAATTCCAATAATAATAATAATAATAATAATAATAATAATAATAATAATAATAATAATAATAATAATAATAATCAAATTATAAAAGGAAAAAGAAAAAGGGAAAAAAATACTCTATATATATATATATATATATACACATATATATCATATGATATTAAAATAACATATACGAATATACATGATGACGTATTCTTAAAAGACGAACGTTAAGATCCAACGACAGAAGAATAATTATTTTAACCAAGGTCGATTCTCGTATTTATGACGAAACAACGACGATTTTCCTCCTTGCTTGACGCATCAACATTACGATAAACATCGTATGGTACGAGTAGCTTAGAGTAGAATACTTCGGGTTTAGCGTACTCCTTTGCTTTTCTTCTCTTCAGTCGAGACACGGCTTTCGTTTCGTGAATTATATCTATCTTCTTCTCTCATACATATATATATATATATATATATATATATACTTATATATATATATTTATTTATTTTGTTTGTTCTTTATTCGTAAGCAAAATATTGTTTTTAATTATGTATTATTATTAGTAAAAAAAACTTCTTTTATTCAGTTGTTCTTTCTTTCTCACTCTCTCTCTCTCTCTCTCTCACTCTTTCTCTTTCTCTCTCTCTCTCTCTCTCTCTCTCTCTCTCTCTCTCTCTCTATTTGTTTAGCTCTTTTTTTCTCACGTTAACGAGGTAAAACAAAGAGGTCTCATTTTTCTTTTTATCCTCGAGTGTTAATCTTAAGTGTGCTTTTTCTTTCTTTCTTTCTTTCTCTTTTTTTTCTTCTTCCCGTTTTCTTTTCTTTTTTATTTTTTTTGCTTTTTTCTTTCTTTCTCCATTTTTCCCTTCCTTCTTCTCAATAAAGTGTCTTAGAAACGTGCCTAATTGGATTTGAAGTTTTATCCATCTTGTGTTCTTCTACTTCGTTGCTAATCGCACCCACTCACTTTGTGTATGTATTTATGTATATCACTTGTTGCCAGTGACATTAGAGAAAAAGAAAAGAGAGAAGACAGCTGCTTTTTTATTTTCCTATTTAAGAATCTCATTATTTCCTTTCTTTCTTTCTTTCTTTCTTGTTTTTTTGTTTCTTTCTTTCTTCCTTTCTTTCTTTCCGTTTCTTTATCTTTTTTTACTTCTTTTTTTTCTCTCTCTCTCTCTTGAATATATTCTCTAATTAACATCTTCTCTTGTTTTATCTCGTTACAATGGAAAATACTTTCGTTCAAGTGGAGAACTAAATAAATATCGTTACAAAAAAAAAAATATATATATATATATATATTAATATATATATATGTGTGTGTGTGTATATTAAAAATTTCGTTTTTCCTTTTTCTTTTTTCTTTTTTAATTTTATATTCAAAAAAAAAAAGCGTTAACGAGGTATGTTCGTTGAATTAATTTTTAAATTGATTTTCTAAATTGAAATAATTCTTTAATCGTAATTACGTTAGAAAGCGTGAAAATTTTGTAATTCTAATATTTCGACGAGCGTAAAAGAATTTTTTTTTAATTATTTAATATAATCTTTCACTCGTGCATTTTTCTCCTTTTTTTCGTATTTCTTTTTTTTCTTTTTCTTTTTCTTTTTCTCCTTTTTGTTTCTTCGAAGAATCAAGAAAGAAAAAAGAAAAGAAAAGAATAAAAAAAAAACAAAAAGCCGAAAGAAATAGAATAGTTTATTTATGACGTATAGTAGAGACATTATCTGAAATAATTTTGATTTCGAGTGGACGATATCATCGAAAAGGAAAAAAAAAAAAAAAAAAAAAAAACAGAAAATAGAATCA